CTGGGGGTGAGGGGTGGGCAGGAAGAAAAATGCAGCAGTGAACTGTAAACGTTTATTAAAATTAATAATAATTTTAAAAAGTTGCTGACTCATAAGAAACCCAAAGATACCAAATATTAAGATAAAATAATACTGCATTCTAGGGTATATTAAGAATATTGTACTTTTTTCTACCATGTAGTGATGTGTGTGTGTGTGTGTGTAATATAAAACCCAATACAAAAAACAAAGATTCTCACCATTGGGCCAAGTGGCAGCATCATGATAGATAGTGAAGAGATTGAGATTGTTAACAGCTTTAGTTTACTTGGTTCCACAATCAACACCCTTGGTACCAGCAACCAGGAAATGAAGAGACGAATTACATTGGGAAAGTCTGCTGTCAGGGACCTCTCCAGAGGTACTGAAAAGCAACAATGTCAGTCTGGAGACTAAGGTGTGTCAGATCGAAGCCATAGTCTTCAACAGTTACTTACTATGCATTAGAGAGCCAGACAATGACTGGGTATAATAGAAAGAGAATTGATGCCTTTGAGCTGTGGTGCTAGAGAAGAGTGTTGAGTATACCATGAGTATGCCAGGAGAACAAACAGGTTTGTCCTAGAGAGGGTGAAACCAGGCTGCTCCTTTGAGGCAACAATTCTGAGGCTTTGTCTGTTGTCATACTTTGGGCATGTTGCAGGAAGGGACTGGTCCTTGGAGAAGGACATCATGCTTGGAATGGTGGAGAGATGGAGAAAGAGAGGGAGACCATCAATGAGATGGATTGATACAATTACTAGGGTAAGGAGGGTAGATGTGTTGGAGACAGTAAAGCTGACACAGGATAGAGCAGATTTCAGGGCTGTTATACATAGGGTTGCTATGAGTCACAAGGTACTCAATGGCACATAACAACATTGGTCTGAAGGGAGCTCTAGTGGCAAGAAGATGTGCTGTAATCTCAAAGGTCTGTGGTTCAAATCCACTTGATGCTTGCTAGAGAAGGAGGGGCAATTTCCTTTTGTCCCTGTTGGATCCAGCTTGAATGGTTCCCAATAAGAAAAAAAAAATTAGTCTCCAGGATTTGTAGAAGGGAGATTAATTTGAAACTAGAGAGACAACTCTTAAAGTCTAGGTGAGATGAGAGGCTTGTAGCCTCTAATAAGGAAGGGGTAATAGGAATATACAGAAATAAAACTGAAAATTAAAAGAGAAGTCTGTGGGTTTTTGTGATACTGGGCCCATGGATTAGATAGAGACAAAGACAGTTGTCTAATTGGATTTTTCTACTAGAGATCTAGAGTCATGGGTATATCAACAATACAAATAAGAAAATTGAGAGCTCTCGAATACTATTTTGTAATTTCTGCCTTCACTGACCTCCAAAGTAACTCTTAGCCCTTGAGCTGAGTTTTCTCTTAGAAGGAGATAATTTAGCTTTTCAGATGCTTTATAGTCGACTAGAAGGACCAAAGAATTGATGCCATCGAATTGCATTTGAGAAAGAACTGAATGTCCCATGTACTTCCCAAAGAACAGACAAGTCTGTCTGGGAAGAAGTCAGTCGAGAATGTTCCTTGTTCTCAAGTATATTGAGGCTTCATTTCACATACTTTGGGCATGTTATCAGGATGCTTGGAAAAGCAGAGGGTCAACAAAAGAGAAGATGACCCTCAGTGAGATCCATTGACACAATAACTGCACCAGTGAGCTTAAGCACATTGGAGATTGTGAGGGTGGTGCAGAATTGGTCAGTATTTGATTCTTTTGTGTATAGGGTCACTGAGTTGGAGCCAATTCATTGTCACCTAACAGTACTTCAGTTATACACCACTAAACTTAAATAAAAATGTTAAATGCCAAGGCTTAACAATTCTTAGGTCTACTTAAAAGAGTACCCTTTTTGATGCTCTGAAATTACATGAATATTCTGTTGTAAGCATTTTTTCATGGGAATTGTTGTTAGGTACCGAGTCGAGTATGACTCATAGCGGCCCTATGAACAGCCAACCTGAACCCCGCCCTGTCCTGTGCCATCCTTATCATCTATGACACACTAGAGCCCATTGCTGAAGTGACTGTCAGTCCATCTCATTGGGGGTCTTTCTCCTGCAATGACCCTTCATCTTGCCAAGTGTGATGACCCTTTCTAAGACATAACCTCACCTAGCTATGTGTCCAGAGTATGATTTAAAGCTTTGCTGTCTTTGCCCTCAAGGAGCACTCTGGCTTTACTTTATCCAAAACATATCTGTGGGTTCTTTAGAATGACAGAGATTTAAAAAGAATAAAAATAAAACTAAATTAGCTTAAAAACAAAACCAGGAATCATTTCTTGATAATATGATGGGGGAAAATTAGAAGAACATGCTTCCCAGATTTACTCTTTATCTAAAAGAATTCTGGTGGCATAGTCTTTAGCATCGTGTGCTGCTAATCAAATTCATTATCTATAGTTTCTTCATTTGTTAAGCATAGACATTTTCATATTGTTGTTGTTATGTGCCGTCGAGTCATTTGCGACTCATAGCGACGCTGTGCACAACAGCCCTAAACCCTGCTCTATCCTGCGCCAACCGCACTGCCTCTGACACACCCATCCCGATTACCCCAGTCACCGAATCAATCCATCTCATAGAGGGTCTTCCCCTCCTGCGCTGTCCCTCCACCCTCCCAAGCATGATGTCCCTCCCCAAGGACCCGTCCCTCCTGGCAACATGTCCAAAGTATGTCAGACGAAGCCCCAGAATCCTTGCCTCCAAGGAGCAGCTTTGTTTAATCCTCTCCAAGATGAATCTGTTTGTTTTCCGGGCAGTCCATGGTACATTCAGTACTCTTCTCCAGCACCACAGCTCAAAAGCATCCACTCTCCTTCTGTCCTCCCTTGTCATTGTCCAACTCTCTGATGCATAACAAGCGATTGCAAAGACCATGGCCTGTATCAGGCGCACCTTAGTCTCCAGAGAGACACCGTTGCTCCTGAGTACTTTAGAGAGGTCCCTAACAGCAGACTTTCCCATCGCAATACTCTTTTCGATTTCCTGACTGCTGGTGCCAAGAGTGTTGACTGTGGAGCCGAGCAAACTGAAGCTGTGAACACTCTCAATCTGTTCGCCATCCATCCTGTCGCTGCCAATTGGTCCAGTGGTGAGAATCTTTGTCTTCTTGACATTGAGCCTCAGTCCATACTGAAGACTGCAGTCCTTGACCCTCCGCAGCAAGTGCATGAGGTCCTCCTCAGTTTCAGCAAGCCGGGTTGTGTCATCTGCATAACGCAGATTGTTAATAGATCTTCCACCAATCCTGATGCCACAGTTCTCCTCATAGAGCCCAGCCTCTCGGATAATTTGCTCTGCATACATGTTGAAAAGGTATGGAGACAGGATAGATCCCTGGGGTACACCCTTCCCAATTTTGAACCATGCAGTGTTACCCTGCTCTGTTCTGACTACTGCCTCTTGGTCCAAGTATAGGTTTCGCATTAGCACAATTAAATGTTCTGGGACAAAATATACACACACACATATATAGATATAAAAACTGTATGTGTGTTTTAACTTAGTGTGAATGACTAAGCAAGTATGAATTATTTTAATAATTATAGCAAAACTGCTATACCCAAGATAGACAGTTTTTACTTAGGAACTTGGTCCATTGAATGTAAATAGTTCTCTAGATTCATCTTTGTCCTAGTCGTCCTCATCCCTGAACCTATCTAATAATTTCTGTAATTGGATACTGCTCTTCTATCCTACAAGTATAAGGTTTTTGCTGTTCTTTAGAGGTATCTTCTATTGTTACATTAACAAGTAATATGTATAAATCATTGGTGGAATAAGTGGAAAAGATGGTCGTCAGTCATCTCAGCAATATTATTCAACTTAAGTATGCTTGAACCTAGTTGCAAAATGTCAACACATTTAAATCCAAGCACTAGGAATTTGTAAGCAGAAAAGTCCTTTACTGCATGTAGTTATATATTACCGTCAGAGAATGTTGGTCTCTGGTGAAAGGAATTTGGCAGTCTGCTTTTCCTTTCATTTTAGTTGCGTGTTTTCTGAATTTTTAGTTTTTGGATAGTAGTGCCTTTATTTTTATTTTCCTGTAAAACATGAGTTGTGTGTATGGGAAAAATTAGACTTCATAGTTTAAAAAAACTAGAATAGTTGAGAGTAATTGTATTTTACTGTACTAACTTGAATTTTAATTAAGATAGATTATTATAATCTCACTTAAATAGTGAAACTGGTTGGCTACATGAATTTGTTTAGTACTTGTTCTGAAATGTTGTAAAGTACACTGGGAAAAAAAAGCCAAGTTGGCTTCAATTCATATATGACGGATTGCCTACCGCAAGTATAAATAACATTTTTTGATAGAATCACTTCAGTGTTTTTCTTTATATATTTAAGAGAAAATAGAAAATAAAAACTCTGCATATGTTATTAAAAGAGCATATTTTACTTAAGGGTTTTTTTTCAGCTTTCTTAAATTATTTTTCTACTTCTGTTTTATTTTTAGTAAAGGTTTTGTTTTCAGTGATTTTAACAAAGCACAGTTTTTAAAAGTTTCTGTATGCTCTTTTCATTATAACACAATTCCATATGATGAAGGCCTAAAAAAAAAAAAAAGTTGATTTCCAAGATTCAGAATGCCATCTAAACTGAAATGCTAACAGAACTGCTTATTATAGAAAAAGGATTTTGTTTTTCATTCTGTGGAGGATCTTTATACAATGTATATGTTTTAAATACGTTTATAGTAACTGTCTGGAGGTTAAGACTAATTCAGTTCTTTTTAGTATAGCCTGTTGGGCAATAAAAATAAGACTATATTTTAAACAAGAAAATGTTCATATGCCATAATATTTATAGTAAATTATGTAACAGTTTTAGATGATGTCGTATGTTACACTACATAAACTCTTTTCTTAAGCCAGACTCTTTGTATATATTATCTTTCAGTGATTGTACACAGTGGTATAGTGTTTCACTTGATATGATTTTAATCACTGTTAGGTTGAACTTGAAAGAAAGTTGGAATCTGCGACTAAGTCCAAACTACATTATAAGCAGCAGTGGGGACGAGCTTTGAAAGAGCTTGCCAGACTTAAACAGGTATGTAGTTTATAGCTGATGATGGATTATTCTCTTTAAATGTCTGTATTTGAATCTCTGGTACTATTTTTGAAAATCGAGCAATTTTTTTTTCTATTGTGTGTATAATTCTCCTTTTCTGAGTGTAAAAGGAAAATAATTGTGGGGTGCTTTTGGTGCTTCATTTTATTCTTACTCAGAAAATAATTAGAAATCAATCTTCTGTTTGCACTTTTCCTCAATTTTCCCCCTCTTCCTTTAGAAATACCTTTTTGGAAGGAATTTTAAGATTAACTTTAAAAATATTGTGTTCTCAAATTTAAGGACATATCCTAGAAGTCACAGAAATTTTTTTCAGTTAAGAAGTAGAATTATAATCTTTACATAATTTTTAGAGGTTGAAAATCTTGGTAGTGTCTAGAATTCTTTTATTAGGATTTTTTTAACCCTCTTCTGACTACTAGATAAAAATAATGCTGCAGTTTTCATTAGAAATTAATCTTAACTGTAGGGCCAATTTCCTTAAATGATTATGATCAAATAAAATATGAGCAAGATTTTCATTGTGAGCCTTACCTTTTTAATCTAAAACTTTTAGGGATTTCTAATGATAGCTTTTTTCCAAAATTTTGTTTTTCTTTTTAGTGTATCATCCATTTTGTTCTGAATCAGATTTTGGAACATAGAGTCACTTTTAAATTTTTCCTAATATGTATTCATAGCCATCAAATACCACTAATATATTTGTAGTTAACCACCTTTATAGAACAGAACATAGGTGCTAGACTACATATGAGTAAGAAGTAGTATCATTTACTCCGGTATAGCTTATATAGATCAATTGAGAATGTAAACATTAATACATGGAGGCAAGATAATGATATATAAAGTATATAAAAAGTAAATAGATAAATATTTTTAGAATTAAAGTTAGGTTGAAAAAATAGCCAGTGAAGAGTACATAGAGCCTCCTGGACACTGGTGTACACATAGAAATAGGACACACTTTTCCTTCAGGCAGCTTATTATTGACAGGAAGAAAACTACTATAATATCTCCTACCTACTTGTAAGAGCCCTTCAAAGAATCATACAGATTTCTCAGAAGGAAAAAGTATCTCTGTCTACTGGTACTAGAAAGGAGTCTTAGAAGAATTAATTTTGAGATAGACTTCCAGAAATGAGTAGGTGTGATTTTAATGACAGAATTGCTTGTGACATAATAAGAGGTTACTAGAAGAAGTGTAATGTGCTTGGCTATTTGTTCATGTAGCCTCAGTACATGAAATGACCTCTTAAGTGAGCCTTTTTGTTCTATAACTATAATTTGTTTTTTGAGGGGGGAGTGTTGCAAATCTAATGAATAAAATAGAGCAGTGGAGTAGGAAATTTTGGGTTGTGTTTGTGTAGAATGAGAAAAGCCCACTTAGAAGACATTTTCTATACTAAAGATTTTAACTAAGTGGTGGCAATAGGAATGTGACACAGTACTTATGTAGGAAGGCATAGTTAGGGGCAATTTTCTAGTACAATACAGAGTAGATGAAGGATGGTGCCAAGGGTTCAAGTCTTAGTGATCTCAAAAGAGATTTCTCAGTATTGGAAATATAATTACTAAGACCAAAAAGAGATTGAAGAGTAGGAAGAATATGTTGTTGTTGTTGTTGTTGTTGTTGTTGTTGTTGTTGTTAGGTCTGTCCAGTCTACTCAAAACGAGCTAATGAACAGTGGATCTGAACCTTACCTTATTCTGTGCCATTCTCATTATCTCTTAAATACTTGGGCTTCTTGTTACAGTCACTGTGTCAATCCATCTTGTTGAGGGTCTTCCTGTCTTTTATTGACCCTCCACTTTTGCAAGCATGATGTCCCTCTTCAAGGACTAACCCTTCCTAACAATGCCCAAAATAGGTGAGGTGAAGTTTCACTATCCTCCTTTCCAAGGAGCTCACTTGGATTCAGAAGATAGGACCTGTATATTTGGACATTTTAATTTTTCTATAAAATAGTTTAGCAGGTAGATAGGAAAAATATGGCATGTGAGGAAGAATAGTACTTTAAAAAGTTCTTTGTGCAGAAGTAATTATTGAACTTGGCAGATAGAAATTCTTAATTTTAGGAAGGAAGAAGAAAGATTAAATAAAACAATAACTAGAGTGAAAAAATGATGATAATTGAGGTACTGACAGAGCGGTTTATCAAATACTTTGCTAAACCCTTCATGTAAAATAGCTTGGTATAATCTGGTATCAGTAATGGTTTATTCTGTTTTAAAAGACTGTACTTGAAGAAAAATGCCTGTAAGAGCTAAATGTTGATAGGTAAGCTTCTTAAAGCTTAGACATAAAGGGATAGAAATGCATTGCTTATTCTTTCACTCACTCACCAACTGCTTAATTGAGCATCAGTTGTGTGTATTGTACAGTGTTAAATGCTGTGGATATAGGTTTCCCCTTATGTGGATGTCTGAAATGTAATTCAGTGGAAAGAACTGATATCTAACTACAGCAAGGTGGTAGGAAATACAGGCTATCAGTAAAACAGATAAAAAATAAACATTAGTAAAACAAGAAGACATCTGAACATTAAATTGAAAACTTGCAGCTATTTAACCAAAGCTAAGAGCTAACTCTTAGAAGAATGGGCATCTTAGAACCTTGATAGTGCTTATAAAAAATCTATACTTGGACCAGGAGGCGTTCATCAGAACAGAGCAAGGAAACAACCGCATGGTTCACACACTGCATGGGAGAGGGGGTACACCAGGGATGTGTCCTATCTCCATACTTTTTCAATCTATATGCAAAACAGATTATCTGGAGGCTGGGCTATATGAGAAATGTGGCATCAAGATTGGAGGAAGACTCATCAGAAATATGTGTTATGCCGTTGACACAACCCTGCTTGCTGAAACTGAGGAGGACCTGAAGAATTGAGTACTGCAGCCTTCAGTATGGATTGAAGCTCAGCATCAAGAAAACAAAGATTCTTACCACTGGGGTGATTGGCAGTATCATGATAGACGAAGAGGTTGAGATTGTTAACAGTTTTCGTTAGCTTGGATCTATAATCAACACTCTTGGTACCAGCAGCCAGGAAATTAAGACTAATTGCATTGCGAAAGTCTGCTGTCAGAAACCTCCCCAAAATACTGAAGAGCTATGATGTCACTCTGGCGACTAAGGTGCACCTGATGCAGGCCATGGTCTTTGCAGTTACTTGCTGTGCATCAGAAAGCTGGACAGTAACTAGGCATGATAAAAGGAGAATTGATGCTTTTGAGCTGTGGTGCTGGAGAAGAGTATTAAATATACTGTGGACTGCTAGGAGAACAAACAGGTTCGTCTAAGAGAGGGTAAAACCAGGCTGTTCTTTGGAGGCAAGGATTCTGAATCCTCGTCTGACATAATTTAGACATCTTGCAAGGCAGGTGCAGTCCTTAGAGAGGGATGTCATGTTTGGGAGGGTGAAGTGACAGCACAAGAGAGGAAGACACTCTATGAGATGGATTGATTCAGTGACTGGGGTAATAGGGGTTGGTGTGTCAGAGACAGTAAGATTTGCACAGCATAGAATACGGTTTAGGACTGTTGTACATAGGGTTGCTATGAGTTGCAAGTGACTCGACAGCACATAACCAGAGAAGTATTCTATACAAAACATTTCATATAACACTTTATACCAGAAGAACATGAATATGAATGAAGTAGAAAATTGGGCTACTATTGAATAGTGAAAGAAAATAATGCAATGATAATTATAAAATATTACCAAAATAACTTGAAATTATGGACAAGTATGTCAGCTATTACTTAGGTCATTTTCTTTGGGAAAAATGAGTGCAAGGATTTTCAAACACTGTCTCCTGTACTTTGGGCATCTTACCAGTGCTTGGAGAAGGGCATCATGCTTGGAAGGATAGAGAGCCAGATGAGGTGGATTGATACACTGACAGTGGCAATGGGGGCAAGTGTGTCAGAGATGGTGAGTTGGTTCAGGATATGGCAGGGTTCAGAGCTATCATTCATAGGGTCATTATGAGTCATAGTTGACAGCGCATAACAATTACAGTTAACTGTGGAAGCATAATTATAATACGGGATTTTTAAAAAATTAAATCTTAATGAAAAATTTATTTTAAATTGATTTGGCCATGTTCGTATATGTACATGTAAAGATTACATTAAGTTTTTCATATTTTGAAATGTATTTAAAATAAGAAAGTAACTATTTTTGTAATAAAACACCACTTTCTCCCCTCCTCCCAAAAATCATAACTCCTTATAGTTTTACACTGGGATTTTGAAGTTAGTTATGATAATTAGACTCCTTGTGAAATACTCACATCCAACTATTTCTTTCCTAAAGAAAGGAATCTTCATACATTTTCCCTTATTTGAGTCTTTCTGTTTAATTATTTTCTCTCTACCCTTCTTCCTATCTTTCTGTGTATACATGGACAAAATAGCTTTAGCTATTTGTCCCCATTTGGAGGGACTACTCCAAGAAATCGAAGTACCTTTTTTTGCTTGAGTTAGTTAAGTGTGAAGAACTATAATACCAGAATACTTGTTCGCTCAGACTTCTGTTCCAGGAAAATTATAAAAATGCTTGATCCCATCTTTGAGTAATCTCCATTACTTTCTCATTGTAGTCAGTTTTATTCTTTATCCCACATACTTTTTCCTTTAGAAATTTACCAGAAACAGATTTCTAGGTAACCGGGCATCACTGATACTCTGCAGACTGCTTTTGAGATATAGCACTTTAAGAAAAAATGTAATGGATCTGAGAGTACCATAGTGAACCATATTCTGCACTGTTTTTGGAATATTAAGATTGTAACTTCATCAAATTGGCAGATTTCATATGTGTGAAAATTACTTCAGAATTTTCCCTAAAACTTTTTATTCAAAACACATTTATTGTGTTTGAATATAAAATTGGACTCCTCTCCTGCTTTTGTTCAGAGGCTTGTTTGTGCAACTTCTTGTTTAAATTGGATTAGTACCATGTTAATTT